GGCAGGAGGAAGGGATCCTAATAGCCCTTCCCTGGGCATGGCCTTAGATTTTTTTCCTTGCAATTTTCCATAGGCTGCAAAGCCATGGGCTTCTTCTGTTGAACTTCCATCCATGCTTCAAGACCCATCTTCAATCTGCCCTGTTGAAACCAAAGCCCCTGTGCCTGCTTCTGCAGCCCTCTGCAGCACTGTGATCACACGGCAACACTCTGTCTCTGTATTACTTGGTTGGGAATAAGTTTCCTCCTCTCCTGCCCACCACAGGCCCTGCTCCTCGTAATGGAACCACAGGTTCTACGAGAACAGAGAGAAAACCTCATGCCTTTCTGTTACCCCAGAGCTCCCTGCTCAGGGCCTAGTGCTTGGGAGTTGCTCTGTGTCTATGAGGTTGAGTTCAATTGGGGCACATAACCACAACTGGCCCAGGGTGGCTATTAATTGCTCCACCTCCTTAGTCCTGTCTCCCCAGGAAGGAACCCCTTAAGGCTCTCTAGCATCGTGGAGAGGCACTATCTCTGAAGGAACCGAGACCTACGGTGGACCAGCTACAGGAGTCAGGGCTGCTTGCTTAGCCTCTTCCATCTGCGCTTCCTCATCTGAACAAGAAGGCAGCAACACCCTCCTGCGGGGCTGCCACAGGAAGGAGTACGAGATGATAGAGGTGCCTGGTATACACCTGGCATATAACGATTGCTCAACGGGCAACCAGACTTTTAAAACAAGCCGTGCACTCTTGCTGGTTTCCTCTCTTCACCTCGCATTCACAGTTCAACCTGCAGCAATCTGGCTTCCGCCCACGAGACTGCTCCTGCCAAGGGGACCAAGATCTCTGTGTCACCTGGGCCAAGGGACTTTCAGTCCTCAGGCTTCCCGACCCACTGCAGCACCGACCCCACCGACCACCCCTCCTTCTCCTCACTTCTCACCGTCTCCTCCCACCGTCTATGCCTTCTCAGCTCCTCTTCCTCCAAGGATGCCTTAAACCCGCATTCCTAGGGAAAGGCTCTCCTCTCCTCCTGAGCACATTTTCTGCAGGTAACCCCTCCCTTCCCAGGGCCCCAGATGCATGGATTTATATACTCAGTTTCCCCTGTATTCCAGCGTCTCCCCTCGACTGCGGACCCACACACCCCAACACGCCTCTGGACAGCCCTCCCTGGGCACCTCGGGCTCTACTCACCTGGACCTGAACTGCCTTCTCTGACCTCCTCCATCTCAGGCCACCTCGCTCCACCTCCCTGCACATTCTAATAGATGCCCCCCTGCCCAAAGCACATATACGTACTGTATTAGTCTCCTATCGCTGCTGTAACAAACAGCCACAAGCACAGTGGCTTAAAACAACACAAAAGTATTACCTTATAGTTCTAGAGGTCAGAAGTCCTAAAATCAAGCTGTTGGCAGGGCTGCATTCTTTCTGGAGGCTTCTAGAGGCTGCCTGCAGCCCTTCCTGGCTCCTTCCTCTATCTAGAAGGTCAGCAGGGTAGGATCCTCCAATCTCTTTCTCTCTGACTCTGACCCTCCTGCCTCCCTCTTATAAAGATGCTTGTAACGACATTGGACCCACCAGACAGTCGAAGATAATCTCCCCATCTCAAGGTCCTTGATCACATCTGCAAAATCCCTTTTCCCATGAAGGTAACATAGTTACAAATTCTGGGGATTAGGGCGTGGGGGGCATAATTTGGCCTATGACACCTCTCTCCCTCCATCTGCTCCAATGCTCTGTGCTATTGCCCCAGTGGCAGGACACATGCTGACCCCCACCCCCTTCCACGTCCAGTGTCTCCATGGAACCTTCTGAGATGATGCAGCATGGCCATCAGTGCCTTATCTCTCCTCTCCATTCAACCGCCTCTTCAGCAGGACTCCCCCGCTGGCTCTAAGGATGCGGATGTCTCTCCAATAACAAACTCCCGTGACTCCACCTCTTTTATCTCTTTCTTCAACAGCTGATCTTCTCTGTCACCAAACTTCTGAGAAATGACCCTGCTTGGCCACCTCCATGCTAATCAGGTTTCCACCCCCAGTGCTCTCCTCCAGGGTTTCTGCAGATAATTCCTTGCTGGGGGACGTTATCCTGAGCTTTGTGAAATGTTTAGCAGTAACCTTGGTCTTTACCTTCTGGATGCTAGCAGCATACCTCTACCCTGAACTGTGACAACCAAAAGCTCTCCAGACATTGCCAAATGTCCAAGGTGAGGGGCAGGGCTGCAAAACTGTCCTGGGTTGAGACCCATTGCCTTCTGGTAACAGCTCTTGCTAAAGTCACCAGCGGCCTCCCTGGCACTAAATCCAAGGAATACTTTTCAGCCCTTCTCTTGCTCAGTGTCTCAGCAGAATTTGACACTGCTGGCCACTGTGGCCCTTGAGAACCTCTCTTCTCCCTTGACTTCCAGGTCACCCACTCCCCTGGTTCCCTCCTACCTCTCTGGATGCTCCTCCTGTGTCTCCTCTGCAGGATCAAGCTCCGCTTCTGGACCATGAACCGCTGAAGTTCCTCAAAGCTTAGTCCCAGGCCTCTCCACCTGTCACACTGCCTGGTCTCCCCAGGTGCTGCCCGCCATACCCCTGGCCCCACTGACTGCCTATGCACAAGGGACTCACGAAGTGACAGCTCCAAACCTCCTCTCCAGCTCCAGACCTGACATTCAACTGCCTACTTGACATCGCCACTGGGATAACTTGATGTCGCTCCAAACTCAAATCCAAAAGCAAAACCATGGTCTGTCCTGCAACCCAGCATCCTCCATTTCTCGGAGAAAGGCACCTTTACCAGCCTGTTGGGAGAGGAAACTGGAGGTGTCCTTGACACTTTCCACTCCCTTACTTAGGCCAATTAGCCTATTTCCAAGTCAGAGCTGTCACCTCTGACACAGTTCACAAAGCAGTGCGCTTGTCTCCACGGCTCTGCCCCCATCCCAGCCTCCCAGCCCCAGCTTCCACCTCGGCTGACTCAGAGAACTCCCCCAGCCCTCCAACTGGGGTGAGGGGGGTGGGCGTCCATGCCCGACCACCATCCCTGCCACCCCACATTAGCTCTCCAGGCTGCAGCCAAAGTCACCCTTTCAAAACGTAAATGTGACCAGATCACTCCCTGCTAGCCCCCACTGAAAACAACCTGAAAGCTTCTTACTATTCCTAAAATAAACAACAAAACTTCTAATTTGGCCCACTGGGCCCTACGAGGTCGCGCCTCCATCTCCTCCCCCAGGCCCCGTGTGCGCTGCACTCTAGCGTACCGCCCTTTGTCCAGCTGCTCAGACTCGCCATGCTCTCTCTTGCCACAGGGCCTTTGCTCTTGCTGTTCCATCCACCCGGATCCCCTGCTGCCATCTTCCTTGGTGGGCATTCCCTCCCTTCAACCCCAGCCCAACGAGCAGGAAGCCTTCGCCGACCTCTGGCCGTATCACTTCCCTGGTTGCTCACTTTCTCCCCGCCTCACTATCTCACTGTCACCTCTCGAACTGTAATTTTATATGGATTAATCCTCTTCTTGGATTAATTCTATCTCCCCCACAGCAAACTCCATGAGGGCAGGAGGTACACACAGTCTGGCCGGCCACTGTACTCCCAGGGCCGGCACAGCGCCTGGCACAGGAGACACTCAAGAGCGCGTCTTTAATGAACGACGACCTTGCGCCCGCTGACTGCTTTCTCTGTTACCCGCATTCTCCCATCTCTGGCCAGCAGCTCCAGCTTGGCTCCCGCGGCGAGCTGTCTTTGGTGACCTTTCCTCCTCATATCGCTGAAAAGCCCTGCTCCTCCCTTCGCGTCCCATCCGTCAATACATCTCCCTCCTAAATCTCCCTCCTAAACCTCTTTCACATCTGTCCAGATGTGAGTTCCAGCCACTAGCTCTTCTTACCTGAACCCCCACCCCTGCCTCCTACTTGGAATTCTGATTTTCCACCCTGCAACCTGACCAGGTCGCACCTATGCTTGACACGCGTCAGTGGCTTCCCCTGGCCCCAGGATGAAGGATGAACTCACCCTGGCTTACGAAACGCAGCGTGACCCAACCCCTGCCTTCCTCTCCTGCTGATGTCTGGCCACTCTGCCTCTTGGGCTCACTGCTGCCACCAGCCTGGACTTCTCCTCTCTCTCAGCTCTTCTGTCTGCATTTTTCCATCCCTCTTCCAAGATGAGCTGTGATTCATTCTTCACGTTTCAGGCTAAAGGAAACCTTCCCCAAGCCCCTCACTAGGCCGATGATAATAATAATAATTGATACTCCTGCGTGCTTACCACGTACGAGCATAATCCTAGGAACTTCACAATATTGACTCATTCCATCTTCACCAACAGGTAGTATTATGCTTATGTTACAAAACAGGCACAACAGAATGAAATGACTCGTCTAAGGTCACATTAGACAGTAAATAGCAAAGCGGGCTCACATTATAAACTAAGGCTCCAGGCCTCAAATTCTTGAGTGCTATGAACACTGCCATGTCCCTCTGTGCTATGTTCCCAGGGCGTCCTGTGTCCCCCCATTTGATCACAGGAATCACGTGTACATTTTCAACGCCTGTCTTCCCACCAGACCATCTACTGCCTGAGCGCAGGAATTACGCCCGTCCTGTTGAAGGCTTTACCGGCAGCGCCTAGCCCAGGGCCTGGCCCTACAGCTTCGGAAGAAGGAAGTCGGGCTCTGCATCCAGCGCCCAGCTCCAAGCCACCCGCTCTGGAAGAGGGGTTAGGTAAACCTTCCGTAAATGCCGCCAGACACACACACAGGGAAATCGCCCTGAGTTCTGCCTGGTGATTTACTGATCTGTGACTACTGCCAGGTAGGCTCTCTCAGCATTGCCCCTGGACACCAAGGGTCGCGGTCACTCAGCCAGGGCAAGGGGACAGCCAGACCCATCATCCACTTGTCCAGAAGTGATAGCAGAAAACCTCTAGGGCCAGGCGGGGCCAGCGTACGGCTCCACCTGCTGGTCTCCTTCCATGTTCTCTGGCAACCTCTCCCATGGTACAGCCCAGGGGACACTCACCAGCCACGAGAAGAAGCCAGCTGATTTGTCCTGGGTGGAGATCTGCCCCTCGTAGGGGCCGAAGATATGGCCCTTGGGGATGACCTCGTTTATGCATCGTACGTCATTCTCTCCACTGGCTTCCTTCACCACCTCCATGCCCTGAGGGATGGTGAGGGCCGCCCGGTCTGGGATGCCCACGGGCACCGGCGTGTCAGACACGAACACCGGGGGACCATGGTTCGGGCACTCGTCCACAAAGTACTCCTGGCAGGACTCGCAAACTGGAGGAATGGAGAGAGGAGGGAGGGCCTCAGCTGCTGCAAGTGGGCAGGACCCGCAGAGGAGGCTGGGGGGCTGGGGGGAGGCTCACCCAAGGACAGCCTGGGGCAGTAGAAAGCACACCGTATGTGACCCCAGAGTACCAGCCCTGGCCCCTGAGTCATCAGTGGCAATAAACCATCACCCTCCCTGGGGGCTCAAAGAAAACACCTGCCAATGCCAAGGAAGCCAGTCGATTCCTTTGTCCGCAATTGGAAAAAGTGGAAGAGCGAGCATGGCTTTAGAGCGCAATGGGTCTCTGTTTGAATTTCGACTGTACTTCCGTGGGCTGCAGGACCTGAGGCGCGATACTTAACCTTCACCAAGACTCAGTGTCCTCGCCTGGAAAATGGGGCCAACGACAGCCACCTCGATGGCTAATGATGAGGACTAACGGAGGCCTGGGCTTGGTACACCACAGGTGAGGCCCTGTCATTAGTACCACTGCTGTGAATTCCTTAACCAGGGATGGGGCCACGAGGGTGAAGGGAGGAGTAGCCCAGAGCCTCAAGCTCCACTTACACCAGAAGTCCACTTGCTGGAAGCTTTTGGGCATGATGAGGTCACGCTTCCCCTTCAGTTTCTTGGGCTCAACTTCCATGGCTGAGGAGTCTGGTCTCCTAGAGCTGGCCGGAATGGGGTCCAGCAAAGAAAGCAAAGAAGCCATCAGAGAGTGACAGCCCAGTGGGGAGAGAAGCTGGGGACAGACCTGGCCAGGAGGCCAAGGGGACCTGGGGTGGGCAGAGGAGCCCCAGCCAGCATGCTGCTCAGTGCAGGGCGTCGTGGAAAGACTGGGGTCCTGAGACCTGGGCCCAGGCCTCTCCGGGCCACTGCTTAAATTTTCCTAGAGCCTGCGCCCCAGGAGCTGCCAGCAGCAGGGTTAAGGAAGGTGGGCAGGGAGTGAGAACTTTCCCCAGGGTTCCCAACCAGCCCAGCCCAGACCTCCCTCCTTCTCCAGTCCCCACACAGGGGCCTCACCAGGGCTGGCCATACTCCTGGTCGCGGAGTGGTGAGCAGACCTCTGTCTTCACCACTGTCACCATGTCCCCTACGGCTGCCTTGGTCTGGGCCAAGCACTCCTTCATGTTCTCAGTCATTCTGTCCTGGGACGCAGGAGGTGGGACCAGCACAGGAAGAGGATCAAAGAGACAGGGGAAGAGGGGTGAGTGGCGGAGAGGGCAAGTGGGGGTCCCGTGGAGTCTGGTTACCCTCCCTGCCATCCCCAGAGGAAACGCTTGAGAACACAGACAACAAAAACAGCTGTAGCTCGGCCAAGAGGAAATGCCATTTCTATCCTGGGCTGGTCCTGGGGACGACTGGAGCCACCAGCCCCTTGGGGTCAGGGGCCTAGGGCAGCTCAGGCCAAGAGGCAGAGCTGGGAAGCACAGCCTGGACCCCAAGACCAAAGGGTCCCATGTGAGCCTGGGCACAAAACTGCAAAGGGGAGCAGGGAGGGAACTCAAGTCAACTGGGGCCAAGAGGGGTGGACACCCGACGTGGGCCTTCAGTGCCTGGCAGGGTGTGCCTCACCCTGGGGCCGCTAGGCCCCTTTGCCAGCTCAGAGCAGGTATAAGCGGGGCCTGGGGGTGCTGGTGTGGGCTGGCCAGGGCCGAAGCCCCCACTCAAGCCCCACCCGGTTCTCTCTAGGGGACTCTCCCCAGTCCCCCGCTTACCGCCCTCCACCACGCGCCGGGCTTCAGCCCCTCCCTCGACACCCCAGGGTCCTCATGCCAAGCCCAGGGACACTCTTCGTGGCTGGGGTGGCACGCCGCTCGGGCTGGGACCGCGCTGGGCCCCGGGACTGGGCGAGCAGCGTGTGTGACTCACTACCCGGGGCCCCGCTGGCCACACCCCTGCTTCTCGGCTAATCAGCCCCTTGCTCCCCACCGGGGCCCCAAAGCCCGCGGCTGGGAGGGGTGTGGGGAAACATGACGGCCTGCCCCCTCCGAGCCGGCGGGGCCGGGGGCGCGCGGAGGGGGCGGGGGCTGCGCGGGCCAGGCCGAGCCTCCTCCACTAACCCCGTCCCCAGCCCCGGAGCGGAGCCGGGAGGGGTGCCCCGAGCGCGGTCCGGCGGGGACAGTGTGAGCTCTGGGGCGGCGCGGGAGGTCGGGCACGGGCCGGGGCGGGCGCGGGCCCGCTCGCTGCCTCTCACCAGCCTTCCCGGCGGGGAGCTCCTGCCCTGCCCGGCCCGGCCCTGCCCAGCGCCCGCCCCGCCCGCCGAGCCCGGCATTCCTTGCGGGGGCATGTGGCTTCTTGCCGGCCCCGGGGGCACGCAGTTGGCTGGCGGCCGGGAGGGGGGCGCCCGGGAGGGGCGGCGGGAGGGGGCGGCCGCGGGAGGCCGCTCGGAGCCGGGCTGCGCTGGAATTCCGGGGCCTCCTGCGGGGCTCGGCCGGGGGCGCCTGGCGTGGGCGAGAGCGCCGGGGAGCCAGGGCTCCGAGGCCGGCGAGGGGCTGTGAAGGGCGCGAGCGGCCCGCCGCGGCCCCGGCCCCTGAGCCGACTCGGCACCGCGGAGGCGACCGGGCCTGCGGTGCCACGGCGCAGACACCCGACACCCAGCTCGCCGAGCGCGGGCCGCACGCCGCTGCCCCCGCACCTGCGCCGCAGGGTGGGCACGGGCGCCGCCGCTCCCCTGCCGCGGGGCAGCGCGGTGCCTGGGGCTCCATGCTTGGTGCTAGGCCGACCTCAAAGCGTGTGGGATGGTGCTGGGCCACCCGTGAAGGGACAGGGATTGGGGGCTGGAGATGTCAAGTGACTTGCTCAAGGTCACGCGGACCATGCCTGATGGCGTCTGAACTGAAGGCTGGGCAGCGCTCCATAAATTGGAAACCGGACAACCCCGAAATCCAAGCGTGTGTTTCAGGCCCCGTTCACCTCCCAGTATCCGCAGCCCAGTTCGCTTTCAGAACAATCACCGAGAATGCCCTGGGAGGCCGGGTGGGGGTAAGGCCCTGTGGATTTGTAAGGGATCAGGGAACACCCTCTGCCCTGCAGAGCAGTTCTCGCTCCCGTGGGTAATACTCGCGCGCAGCACACCCCGAGGCAGCAAAGCCTAGTGGTTGGGAGCCTGGGCTCTGGAGAGGCACTGAGTTCAAATCCACTGATGGGCTGTGCAACTCTGGGCAGGCATTACGGACTGAATGCGTGTGCCCCGCCCCGCCGCCCCGAATTCGTATGTTGAAGTCCTAACCCCTCAATGTGGCTGTATTTGGAGACAGGGCTGTGAGGAAGTGATAAAAGATTAAATGAGGTCACAAGGGTCAGGCCCCTAGAAGAAGAGGAAGAGACACCAGAGCTCACTCCCGCATGTGAGGACACAGCGAGAAGGCAGCCGTCCCCGAGGCCGAGAGCCATCACCAGGAACTGAACAGGCCGACACCTTGACCTTGGGCATCCCAGGCTCCAAAACTGTGAGAAATAAATGTCTGCTGTTTAAGCCACCTGGTCGGTGGCATTTTGTCATGGCAGCCTGAGCCGACTAATACAGCAGGTTCTCTAACTTCTCTATGCTCCCATCTTTCTTCATCTGGAAAATGTCCCCCACAGATTCTGTCACAGACGTGGCTGCATTATATGGACAGAGGTGAGTTTGGAGGGGGCTAGACACCGTTGCATATCCTACTGAAGAAAGCTGATCAGGAAGATGGGTACTAGTGACATCATTAAGGGGTGGCTTTGTTTTCTCTCCATTGAATTAAATTTATTATGAGCCAATCATTTGCAGACGCTGGCGCTGTATTAGAACAGGCTGCAGGGGACTGTTTTGCATGGGTTGTCCCAGCTCTGGCCTCTCCGCCCTCAACCAGCCCCACCTGCGTGCCATGCTTCATCCTGCCACCAGGCCTGTGAACTCACTGTGTCCTCACCTGAAGCACACCTGGGAAACACCCACTCATCCTTCAGCCCTTACTGCCCCCCCCCACCCCCATGATACCCTCTCTTAGCTCCATGTCACACTTCATGACACTGGTCACACTTACAAATCTTTTGTTAGCATGATTATTTGCTTATGACCTGTTTGCTATAGTAGACTGTAAGCTCCCCAAGGGCAAGGCACAGGCCCCTTGGCTCCCCACTGAACTGCCAGTACCATGATGGTGCCTGCCACCAAGGCCAAGGCTAAGGAAGACAAGCCAGGCACTAGGGCATACGCATTAAGGAGGCCCTCACTCTCAGGGTCATGCACTGGCAGGACTGGCACCTGAGAGTGAGGGCCTCCTTAAATTTTGCACCCTAAGCTCCTTATTTGGCTCACCCTCCTCTCAGTCTTGCTCAGCACATGGCATATTCTCAGTATTTGCCAAATGAAGCAGTGACCAAATGACCCACATCACATCCACTGACCTCTCTAATATGTCCTGCTGGTCCCGTTGGGAATCTCAACTCTAAGAGACCTGAGAAGGAGAGACAGGGTGGGCGGGTTATTGTCTGGAATCCTCTTTCCCATGGGGCTCTCTCCCAGTGAGCTCTGCCAGGCAAGGTAGGTGGCATGAAAGTCTGGCAGGGTGGGAACTGAGGGGTGGTGAGGTGCACTGGAGGATATGATGGAATTAGACTCATGAGGCCTGGAGCCTGATTCTGATAAGCAGTTGAGAAGTGTTTAAGCGGTGTGCCATGGCACGCCACTTACGTTCTGTAGGCCCTGGTGTCTTTTTGGTAAAATGGAAAGCATCATGATTGCCTGGTGGTCCTCATGAGGAATAAATAAGGGAAGAGGGACTGGAAGGGGAGTAGGGAAAGAGAAGAAAAGCAGGCAACAGTAAGAGAATAAAGGATGGAGGGGAAGAGGGAGAGAAGGGGGGGAGAAAATGGGGAGGGCAAGGAGACAGGGAGAAGGACTGAGGCAGACACACATTTTTCTAAGTCCTAAATTTTCACCAGCAAACCATCCCCTTGTGGAAAAAGCATTTGTTTGTATCTCGAAGTAGAAATGTCTATGGGTTACTTGCTTTCATGTCTTATTTCTCACTTACATCCCACCTTCACCACCTGAAAGATGTGTAATGTTTTATAACAAACACCTACTAAACAGGACAGTTAGGAGACAACCAGAAAGAGTGTCATGGAGAAAGAGGGGTGCCAATTATGTCAAGAATCTGTTGTAAGATGGTTAGCAATGGAGCTTTCCATTCAGTTCTGAGCCTCCTGGCAGCCAAAGCGAAAAAGGGAATATGATGGGTTACAGAGTTCTATTATTTGACACCAATTTATTGACTGTATGCACAATTAAATTTTCTCTATAATTGGAGGAATCCAGCTTCCTGGAGAACCAGGATTAAGCCTCACTGGTATGACTGATGTGCATAATCCTCAAGTGGCCCACAGACATCTCCACTTTGAGATAAGATAGACAAGACTTTCTGGGTCTATGATAAAGGTTGTAGGGGCAGGGAGATAGGAGATGGGATATGGTAGGACCAAATGAACTTCTGCTGGGGAAAGAGAGAGGACGTGGGTTGGTGTCCTCCATTGGGTCCATCTCAGCAGAGACGAGAAGGCCTGGGCCAGGTGAAGCCCCAAGAGCCTTTTCTGCAGGCTGCTCTGGCCCTACTTGCCCGGTGGAGGGCCTGCGGGAAGGGTGGTCGGCAAGCCTCATGGAGGATTCCAAGCTGCTGGCAATGCTCCCTGTCAGCTGGCTCCTCTGAGTCTGCACATGCAGAGATTAGGCTTGTTGCAAACCCAGCAATGAGATGCAAACCCAAAAGGAGGGGGCAGAATGCAGCCCAGGAGCCTGCAGCTCTGTTTCCACCCTTGGCAGAGTGCCAGGATCCTGGAATGCCCCACAGCCAATGCAGCCAGGGGACTGGGAATCTGTGCCCACTTGGGTTTCCCTAGAGGCTGGCACCATGCGAAGGAAGGTCAACTCTGGTACCCACCGCAGCATCCTCTGTGGTCGCCCATGGTAACAAAGGGGCAACACGGATCTGGGCTGGGTATCCCAAGCCCTGGATCTCAGTTCTGGCTGTTTCAGTGGCCCTGGGCAAGTTCCTGCCTTGCCCTCAGTGTCCCCTTCCTGAAAAATAAAAGGCCCACGAAATGGTTCTTAACAGTGAACCACGGAGGTGGTGGGCAAGGGCTTGGAATTACAACAGGGAGTTAT